CTATACTACTAGTACTACAATACTGTATTTAGTCGGTGGATTTTCCAACCTTAATCCAATGAACAAATTATCTTACTGCTTAACATAACTGAATTGTTTTCATTTCTTTCTGTAATTACATGGAGGAATGAGTTGCTGTGTTTTGCTCAATGCTATGCTGTGTGATTACATACAGGGCCCACTCTGCGAACACTTGAAATTATGGACATGCATGACGTCAACATAGTAAGCCACGCCCCCTCGGCTGAACCCTTTGTGTTTAACAACTAACAATATGTAGTTGGTTTCATGCTCATCAATCAGTGGAGCAGTGGTGGCGCCAGTGAAGGGGACAGGGCCCCTGTCTTCCGACGCCACAACGAGGTCGTTTGATCTAAAATTTTAAAAATAATAATTTGCCTACCCAACGTTATTTTGATTGCCAATCCCTAATACTGTGGTCTTTAGTCCATATAGGCCTATCCTATACTTGCCACTCCCGTGAACCTTTGTTATTCCGAGACCCCGGGACCGAGGCTCCAGTCGGCACCTTACAGGGACGTAGCCAGGATTTTGAGCCGTTATGCGAGGTACGCAGGATCCCATAGGGGTCCAGGGTCGAGGCCCCTGGAAAGTAGCGCGATGTGAAAGTTTTTATGGCTGTTCTTAGATGATAAAGTGAAAATTGCAATAAACGCATCATAAATAATACTGTATTACTAAGCCTAACAATAATATAAAACTCAACAGTGGTGGATCCAGGAATTCAATAGAGGTGACCAAGGAATTCAATAGAGGTGACCCAGGGAGGGACTATTACACCATGGTTGGGGCTGAGGTAAGATCACCGGAAATTACACTCTCCGACTTAAATTTGAAATTATATAGGGGGGGGGGCCCATATATTTTTTAAATTAAAACAATTTAGTGGGGAGGGGGACCTTGAATCTACCACTGCTCAAAACATTCTTTATCCAAAATAGTCATAATCACGAAAAATGTGCATGTACAGATCACATCCTAAAAACAAATTTATGCACTCCCCGCCTCATCAGCAGCCACTAAGATGAGTCCATTGTCAACTCGATAGAGTTTGTCATACCCAAGAAGGGCACAATCTGTTTTGAAAGGTGGGGTGGGGGAACATTTTGTGGGTCTGAGGTGTGAAAATTTGAGGAAATAGTACGTCTAGATGACCAGAAAATGCATTTTTTGTAAATCTCATCATCATCACATCACCGTTACATACAATGCTGTTGCCAGGATCTTCAAACATGTGCGGGAAAATATCAATGTGGACCCACCTTACTAGTAAAATCAAATAATAATATGGACTCATTTTCTTAAAAGTGGACCCATTTTACGCAAAAATATGAAAAATCTGTACCCATTTTCTAAAAAATTGACCCATTTTACGCAAAATAAGAGAAATCTGCACCCATTTTCAAAAACAGGACCTATTTTGTGCTAAACAGCCTAATTTAGACCTATTTTGGGAAACGTAGACCCATTCTTTGTGAACCCAATAGAAAAATTGTGTGGGACTGTCCAACTGTCCCAATAGCTGGCTACGGCATTGATTACATTGTACTCAAAATGAAGCGGCAACAAATTTCTTATGATCTTTTATCAGGCATTTTCGGCAATCATAGGAGATCTTTAATGTGTGATGTAGCATAGAAAATAAAGTTTATAAACATCATCGTAGTTTATCAGGGATCTACTCAATATACAAACAACTATAACTATAGCTTATAATTGTGGTAAAGAAAGCACAATCTAAAACTATGGCTTAGTAAGGTTTAAGTATGCTAATAATACTACTTACTGTTTGGCCTTTAGCAGATTTGGGTACACTCAATGGTGAGTGTAGTACCTGGTAAGAGAGTAGTAAGAGAGTGAATTATAATTATATATGTATATGTATATATATATATGTATATAAATATATACATAATGTAGGCCTATGTCTAATCAAAGATACAGTTAAATATATATGTTTGATAGAAACAGTACTCAATTTTCAATTTTACGAGCAGATGATGTATATATATGTATATATACTATATATACATATATATATGAATATATATATACATATATATATATATATAGGCCTATATAACCAAATCCATATACGATTTGTCATTCTTGAAGTATTTAGTGAATCAGCATCCTTGATTGGTTTGTTTGTGGTATAAGATTCTATAAAACATGAAGCCATCTACAGGAAAGCTAGTGACACGGTATCACAGGCTTAAGTGCCTTGTTGCTAAGACAATAACAGTAACGGCTATATAGAACATCATAGGCCTATTTCAAATTAAGACATTTCTTGACGGAATATTACCTACCTGGTTGGAGCCACGGATCGAAGGTATAACTTGACGGTTCAAAAATCATGATATATCCCTGGAAATCAGGTAACTGTGTAACGCTGATCTGTTATTTAAAGACATTATAAGGTCTTATATTGCATATACAAAGGCGCATGCGTGGTATAATTCCATAAAGGAAATATTGGGAAAGGATCATATCCGCTGACTTGTCAAACGTAAACGGAAACATCATTTTGATGTCACAGCAAATAGAACTTGGAACTTACCTCAAAGTAAGTAATTTGAGTTAAACAATGATAATAATAATAATAATAATAATAATAATAATAATAATAATAAATAATATAATAATAATCATAGGCCTATCTACAGGAAAGCTAGTGACACGGTATCACAGGCTTAAGTGCCTTGTTGCTAAGACAATAACAGTAACGGCTATATAGAACATCATAGGCCTATTTCAAATTAAGACATTTCTTGACGGAATATTACCTACCTGGTTGGAGCCACGGATCGAAGGTATAACTTGACGGTTCAAAAATCATGATATATCCTTGGAAATCAGGTAACTGTGTAACGCTGATCTGTTATTTAAAGACATTATAAGGTCTTAAGAAAGTATAATACATACTCCAAGTATTGAAATACACGCCATCGTGTTGGGATTCAATATTTCGACATTAATTATGTCATCATCAGGAATGATGTGTGACACGGTATCACAGGCTTATAATAAGGTCTTATATTGCATATACAAAGGCGCATGCGTGGTATAATTCCATAAAGGAAATATTGGGAAAGGATCATATCCGCTGACTTGTCAAACGTAAACGGAAACATCATTTTGATGTCACAGCAAATAGAACTTGGAACTTACCTCAAAGTAAGTAATTTGAGTTAAACAATGATGATAATAATAATAATAATAATAATAATAATAATAAATAATATAATAATAATCATAGGCCTAATTATGATGATTATTATTATATAAATAATACTAATAATGATAGTAATATTGATGATGAAAATAATTATATAATATAATAATAATAATATATTATTATTAT